ATATATGGTTTCATGCGCATAGACTGCCCGTAACTACTACTCTACAATTGGTGTGTGCAGCCAGCGCATTAAAAGTGAGACTGAAGATGGTTGGTGGAGGTTATTGCAATTTTGAAATGACCAACTCACCAAACAATGACGCCGTCTTAGAGCTGGTACTCGCAGTTGAGGAAACAGCAGCAGCAGTCGTAGTTGAAGTGGCGGCTGTTGTGGTCCCTAGACGATAAACACCGATTAAGTGTAATTGAGACTGCCCTCTAACATGTCAATTCTCCATCCACGAGGAGTTTGAAAACTCACCAAGGGCTGAAATCGGCTGCGCAGTAGAGGGCGGCGATGTGGTCGCAATAGGAGTTCCCACACCTTGGAGATTAGCAAGTTTTAGTAATAACTCAACACGTGCTACTTTAATTAATCCAAGTAGTGGTTGAAGCCTTACCAAATGGAGGTTTTGCTGGTTCACTAGTTGCTGAAGGCGGTTGCGTGCCTACAATGAGCAAAAATCGATTAATTCAATAAAACTGCTGAACCCTAATTAACGGCACAAGTACGCACCAAACAGGAGCTTAGGAGCCTCACTGGCAAGTGATGATACAGGCGATGTGCCTTTACAAAATAAATGAGATTTTATTATTAATTCAATCAAAGGGCATAATTAAGTACGTTACATCAAACAAAAATATTTATTACTAACCGAATACTACAGACTTGGTTGGTTCATTAACTGATGGTGTCGTTAGTGTACCTTCATTTATTTGGAAACAAATGCAAGGATTGATGATATATAAAGAAAGAGAAATTTATGAGCAATAAAGCTCAAATATTTTCAGACTCAAAAGCTAACCGAATAAGCTCTTTGCTGGTGCAGTAGTTGACTTTGCGTTAGAAGACATGCCTAAAAAGCAGTGGATCCTACTTAGACACTTAGGAGTAGTAGAAGAGCAATAAAGATCGCAAATAACTAACTGTGAGGGCTCTGTCCCGATTCGCTGGCGGACATTGATGCTGTCGTCGTCGTCGTCGTCGCCGTGGCTGTGGCTTAAGTTCATAAAAAATGGTAGTGTTAAGTTGGAAATTCATCTACTCAAAATGATTTAAGTAGGGATTGAGCGAAAAGCACACACAAGAAAAGGCACATACGGGAGGGCAATTTCGAAGGATCAGCTGAACGAGCCGTGGATTGAGTCCCTTAACATTGACAAAGAGAGCGTTTACGGTGGGGAACACTTATTGTATGGTATAAATTAGAGATAATTTACCAAAAATGCTTTTAGCTTGTTCGCTTCCAGTAGACGTTGATCCTATAATAATAGGTGGCAATGCATTCAAAGGTTTGATCGACAATAAAAAGATAATTTATTTAAAAATAATCGATAAATGACAAACCAAAGAGATTTGTACTGGGTTCGCTGGTAGACGAAGGTGGGGAAGTACCTAAAAACCGAAAATAAGGGCAAAATAGCACGACAAGTTCACCCATCTTGTAATAGATGCGACGTCTATATTAAAACTACCAATTCGACATCTACCGGGTTTGTCTGAAGTTGACCCAACAACAATAGAACCTAAAGCATCACACGTAAAGGCTGATTTTTCTCACTTATAAGGCTAAACAGGTGCTACTGAAATTGATTTAAGTAAAAGTACAGTAGTGGAGGATAACTTATCAGCGTTAGTTACCGCACCTAAAGAAACCTGTATGGTTGAGACTCTGCAAAACCAAGCCTAAACTGGTAACAAGTGTTGCCAAGCTTAATTATCGAAATACCAATAAGCAAGTTCGAAAGGGAAAGACACCGATTTAGGATGATTTACTTCCCGTTTAGAATCCAATATTTTGTGTTCAGGAAGAGCGAAGCATCCAAGTAGCACACTCATACAAAATCAACTAAAGAAATAGAAGGTCAAAAACACTATTGAATTGAGAACTTTGAAAGAAGTGTATCATCCTCCACATTCACCAAGAATGATATGTCGTCAAATATATTATGAAGGCCAGAACTTGAATTTAGACTTGAATATATATATATATATATATATATATATATATATATATATATATATATATATATATATATATATATATATATATATATATATATAACAAAAGTTCATAAAACTTAATACTTACCGAAAGAATTAGGGGCTGCGATTGGTGAAGATGAAACCAGAGAGCCGAACAAATTGCCACTGGGAGGTTTAACAGCTGCTAGGAGGGTATGGAATTAACAAATGTGTAAAAACTTTCAAACAGGAATGTCTACTTAATTAAAAGAGTAGAAATAATATTCGCAGATCGCAAACCTTGAGCGATTGATTGGGATTGAACTGCTGTGGGGGGAGTTGGCTCCTCAACACTTGGCAAGGAATGAACTAAAAAGAAAAACGAAGAAAATGAACACAGTGCATCATCATCAAAAGTAGAGCATGCAAGCAACTGGCATCGATTAGCAAACACTAACGCCGGGGAGAAAGAGGTTTAAAGTTGTCAACACCAGAATTACCCTTGGGAGCACCAAAAACTTTCGTGGTGGGAGCCGCTGCGCAAGACAAACAACAAAAAAATTAAACAAAACTGAATAAGTCTTTCAAATCCAAGGTCAAAGAAGGCGAGAAAGCGCAACTCACGAATAGTAGTTGCTCGAGTAGGAGAGGTGAGAGTCATCGACGCGGAGGGGACGAACATGGACGACCTCGTAGACACTGGAGTCCCTGAATAAAAAGGGGAAAAATAGTGTTAAGTTGAAAGTAGAAAAGAAAGAAAATAGAAGTTGATTACCTGGAGAAGTGGTGTCAACTGGGACAGCGGCAGAGGGAACAGGAGTGTCTAAAAAGGAAGGTGCATCATATGAGGGGAAACGACTTCTAATAATACCCTTGAAAATTTAAAAACACGTCCCAATGCAAAATGTTTAATTCAAATCGTTTAATCATATCTCATCTACAGGCATTAAAAGCTCACACACACAGTCTGTGAACGGCTGAGACCACAGATTAGGATTCTAAAATAATTTTAATTTGGGTTCATATCACCGAAGGAAGGTCAAAAGTCTCCTCGCGACACAAAGGACGAAGATTAAACTTATGGGAGAATGGGCACGAAGAGGTCGAAAGAGGCAATTGAAACCCATTTCAAACAAAAGTGAATACATCTAAATCTGCACAAATGGAGAGTAGGCCAATGTGGCCTCATCCCACATGGTCCACAAAGTTTAATTCCCTTTCGCATTGATGAAATATAATCTCAAGTGAAATTGAGAAATGAGGTGGAATTGAGATAGGAAAGCACAAATGAACCAGGCACAACGACCTCAAAATTACCTTCAAACAGGCAGATCATGTACTCGGTACAACGGGCGCATGTGTCACATAAATAAAGTGATGAAAGGATAGCTGTGAAGGAACACCCACTTTCCGAGCACAAAGAGTAAGATAAGTCTGAGTGAACTTCACAGTGAAAATTAACAGACTTGATGTCAAAATCAGGGTTCTATGGAGTTATTGATTCATACTTCTATCGCCTCAATACTTCAACTTGAAGGTGAACTTGTGGGACACGTTATCCCATTATCGCGCGGCGTTAATAATACGTGTGGCCGTATAACTTTCCGCGCAAACGACAATAATACAAGTAACCAATCAGAAGCCGCCAAGTGTTTATAACTAAGTAGCCAAGCTGAATACAACTAAACTGTTTGTAAACACACTTTTCTTGTCATTATGTGACTGAATATACGTGTTCCGTATTATATATCTGTTTCCCCTATAGCTGGGCTATAGCTTAGCTAGTTCTGGGAGTCTAGGTAGATGTTGGAGATTCTGTCACACAGAGATTTCTGAGTAGTCAGGCTTTATAAAAGTAGCAAACCGCTACAAACTCACTGTTTCAACATAATGGGATGAGTCATAGAGATGGAACTCCATAATGCAGAGTTCCAAAGTTGTTTGCCTTATACAGAAGGCTTGCAATTAATTAAATACTGATAAAAGACGAATAACTTACAAGCAGAACTTGCGGTGGGAGCTGTGGATTCCAAGTTCGGTTCTAGAGTTAAAATAAAATGGGTTGAAAGTGACGATTAAATAGGGTAAAATATGCCAGCAAATTTTACCACTGTTGGGTTGCGCCTTCACTGCGGTCGTAGGAAGAGGAGGGGTTGACGGGAGGGCAGAATCATCAGCTGACATGGAAAAGTTGAGCAAAGGAGGCCTGGTAGATGTCATTCCACTAGTCAGAGTAACTGGAGGTACTAAAGACAAGGCACGCTTATATTCGGTTACCATTTCTATATAAACAATAAAAAGCATTCAATAGTGCGTCACAAACCCGATTCAGCTGAAGCTAGTAGCTTCGAGATCTCCTGGTTCTTCTGTTTCCCAAGTGAATCTGTGGAAAGGAAAACGAAATCCACAACTAGCAATAAGGTCGAAAAGAAGAAGCGTGTCAATATGGAACAACTTAAAGGATCGAGACAATTACAACTGAGCCTTATACCTCAAATGGCCAATTGAAGAACAATTGCAGCACTCTACTATTTCGATTGAAAAGATTAAAAGCCCTATGTGAGAGGTCAAACACGCACGAAATAAAGTCCATCGTATATCCAGGAAGTGTGTCGATCGAATCAAAGGTTTCAGGAATAATATCCCCCTTTATTTAATCACATAGCAAAAGAGGTACAACCGGTTCAGATAGGGTGAAATAATTAGCATTTTAAGAGAAGAGAATCAATAAGAAATAATTACTTAATTAAAGACACGAAAACGTCCTTTAAGAGGTCTGAGAATTTTGGCTTCCATTGTTAAAACTGCGTCTGCTCAAAAATATATGGGGAAGTTTTGTGGGAAGGAGTCCGGATCAATAAATCGTTGTCTCATGACATGGGCTCAGTTATACAGGATGAAACCAATACATTGTAAACCACCACCCGGAGACATCGACAACAAGACATGATAAGTCGCACCGTGCGGTTCCAGTTGACAAAAAAAGAGGACTTACTGAGCTGCTTCGATGCAGATGAGGTTGACTTATTGGCAGCCGGTGATGATGCTAGTACTGAGACACTTTTGTCCCCTGACTTATTCATGGAGGGCGCCTTCGGAGTTGACTGAACTGGAGTCTTCGTTTCTGCCTCCCCCATCAGACGTATCGACGCGAGAACATCAGAAATAGTCGATGAAGCCTTAACAACAGGAATCCGTTGGTCAGTTATCGGGTTGGTTTTCTTTTTCGTCTCCTTACCCTTGGATTTGACGTCTCCAAAACAGAGTAGGCGATAAAGCATAGCATCGCGTTGTTCCCTATCTAAAGAAATCGCAGATCCACCGAGAGAAAGTTGAGAGGTATTACTAGGTTTGTTGGAAGACGAATCGTTTAGAGATATTCCCGCCATTCTAGATATTAGTTCAAGACGAGAGCGTTCGTGTTTAATAAGACGTGCATTGGTGGCAACAGTCGCTTGAATCTTATCCAAAGCACTGTTAAGGGAAATCGGCCAATAAGATAAACGGACAGAGCTACTTAAAATGGACTTAAGTAGCACTTACCTTCCGACATCAGAGAGTTGTAGACTAGGTCTACCACGTGCAGATAGGCGATTAGAACGCTCATAACTCGACTCCAGCTTCGCTGTCAAGCTCTCAACTTGATCTTCAAGTTCAGCCAGACAGCTCTCTGCTGCACGAGACTTGCGTTTCAGAGAGGAGAGAATATTCGCGGCCTCGGGGTCAAGGCCAGCAGTCATTAATTCGCGATGCATTTCACCCTTTCGTCGATTGAACACATCAAAATCAGCATTCAACTTATCGAGGTAATCTGAAGACGCCTTCTGTTCATTAACAGAAATTTGAGTCGCTTTCCCTAGTTGACTCGCAATCTATTCATGCAAAAAGAAATAAGGAGATGATGATGATGATCCAACAACAAAACACCTACAATTTTTTTAAAATTAGTAGTATTAGTAGCAAGGGGGACCTACTTCATCAATAACGCGAAGGAAGTTGTCCATATTGCTGAGACTTTGTTCAATATCCCACACACTTCGTCGAGCAGCATTTTCACTCGATGACGCTTGAGCATTGGTGGAATGGCCATCAAAGACGCTGTGAATATGGCTCCACGCAGAGGCAGAAATTTCAGCCTGCGATTTTAGCGCCTTCGAAAATTGATTTGCGGCATCGATTATGGACTGAGCCAATTGAGACGGCTCATTGGACGTTTGTCCAGTAACTGTGCCAGGTGTCTGAACATTTGAAGCTAAACAGAAGGCGGATGCAGAGAATAAAACCAACGCCTTTGTTAATTAAGTAATTTGCAAAGTTGAGATCAACTACCTGTTTGTTTTAATGCTTCAGTTTTAGGCGAATTGCTTATTAAAGGGGTACTACAGCTCTGAGTAACTAAAGCAAATAGGGAATACTGTTATTGATCAACGGCATATTGATAATATGGCAATCATAAGAGGTGACAACCATAGAAAAACTCGCAAGAATATCCAAAAAAAACTCAACGAGAAATTACGTAGTAATGGATCAATTGAATTAACAAAAAAATAAAAGTATTATTACCAGAATGAGTTGAGCTATCACAAATCGAATTTCCAAATGTGATTGTATCAGGAGAAGCAGCGTTTGAGGTAAGTATTGAAACTGCAAAGATAACCAGCCTTTTTAATAATGCAATAATAATAATGGATAGAGGGTTACGAAAAAAATGAAAGAAAATTTGATTACCAGAGGTAATAGGTTTAGCTAAGTTGCTTTCAGAAGGCACACCAATTGAGGTGATCGGCGCAGTACTAGAACCGGAATTTCGAATTTGCGACTTGGCAGCATCTGGAATCGAAAAACGTACACCACCACCGTACATATGTAGTCATTTAGGCACTTTTAAATTTAAAAATGGGAAATAGCATTATTACCACCGGAATTGCCTAGGAGTCCAGCCAAAATAGACCCAGTTGGTGCTGACGTATACACTGAAATAAAGATGATTCAACAGTAAATTGAAACGCTTTAGACAATTTTAAAAGGGCGGGAAGTTGCCTCACCAGTTTTTGCTGCTGCACTTCCAAAGAGGGTAGAGCCTGGAGCCTGAGAACCTGAACATCAAAAAAGCATTAAACTGAAAGCTTAAATTGATTAAAAGGGCTGGAGAGGGTTCAATTCACCTGGACTGGTTGATTTGCCCAGTAGAGAGCCAATTGCAGAAGCACTCGGAGTGGACGAAACCTCATTATCTATCAAATGGGATAGGGGGGAGGGGGGGGGGGGGGTAGAGAACTTGACTTTTCAAGGAAGAGGTAAGAGCAATAGGCCAACATACCATTAACGACAGGCTTGCCGAATGAAAATCCAGAGGGCTGACCAGATGTCGCAGAAACAGCAGCTCCTGGCGGTCCTGCAGAGGAATCACAAATCAACAAGATGATACTACTGATGCCATTGTGAGTAGATTAGACACATACCCTGATTTGTTGGTTTGCCGAAAGGGGAATCAAGTGAAACGCCTGGATTAGATGGCGTAGAACCAAAAGCCATTCCGTCTATTAATAAAAAAGGTTAGGTAAATCTAATTTCATTAATTATTGGCATCTTTTTTGAAAATAGATTGCTCGAAGTTTTCAACATCCAGAAAATTCATGCAATCACAGAGGCATGTAACTATCACAGCACCAAACTCACCTGACTTCGTTTCATGAGAAGAAGGCCGGTTATTATTAACAGATCCATCTGGAAAGAAAATGGAAAAAAAACACCGGATTAAGTTCAAAGCAGAGAGCAGTTGTTGTGCTGCTATTGAAAAAAAGGAAAGAATGCCGAGTTTCAGAGGAATCATCAAATTCCAGAGTAGAGAGTAGAGGGAGGGAGGGAGGGAGGGAGAGAGAGAAAGAGAGAGAGAGAGAGAGAAAAGAATTGGAAATCACTTTACTCTTCCCAATCTAATTAGTTCACAGCCTACTGAGTTCTTCCCCAACTTAAAAATCTCACATCTCTGTTACGCCAAGGTCATGCAAGTTCACTCTGCTTTTTCAACATTTGAGGGGGGAGGGGGGGGGGGAGGGAACCTACTAGAGTGGTAAAAAACGACCAGCATAATTACACCAACAATCAAGAAGCAGTGGATACCTCGCGTGCGTGTGTGCGTGCATGTAATCATTTCGCAATTCAAATGGTGAATCATGGAACGCGCATTGCCAATTTTAAGAAAACATTGTATAGAATGGAAAAAAATAACTACAAAACATACTCTGAACATTTATTGTCTCAAATTTCTTTCTAATCCCTCGATTCGACAAGCAAAATGACAACAATCTGCGAGTGAGGGCATGAAAGTAAAGTGCCTACGGTACTCTAAGGAAACCAGCAGATGATATAATTTACCGGAAGGCAAGTGGGGAGGGCTGTCAGCCGATGCGCACCAGAGTTTGAATCCGGCGAAAGCTCCACTTATTGGACTTTGTGGTTGATCTCCACCCGCGGGAGGGCATACCTTGAAAGCGAACATCGCCCCATTATTCAAGAGCCCCAATATCATAGGGATAGGATCAGGGGTATGGATGAGAGCACCGATATCCATGGCAATTGGAGAACCATCCGTGGGAAGAGGAAGGGACTTGAGTAATCGGGGGACACTATCAGGCGGGGGACTATTAGCTGCAGAAGATATGGATGGAACTTCCAGAAGGAAGCACTCATCAGCATCCTGTGACCAAGTAACTGCCACTAAGCTGGCGGAATTAGGTATCAGTCGGAGGTGGTACCGATGGTGAGAGTCGACGAGACTGGTGAAATCCGGCAGTCTGTTCAGTCGCGTTTCAGCCTTTTCTCAAAATTGCAAAGTTAGTAACTGAGTTAATTAAATTAAGTAGAGTTCGTGTAAAACAGACGTACCAAAGCCGCAACAAAGACCAACTGGATGCCCTTGGAAAGATCTGAATCTTCAACACCGACCAAGAAGCAGTAAGAAGATGTCCAAAGAATATCAACTGGTCGAGGATTGGTGAAATCTAAAGCAACAACACTCTATGGGTTAGTCCAGCACAACTAATCACTTTCCCATGTGTATAAATGGGATCAAATGTTTACTAATAATTGTTACCTTCTCTCTAAATATAATTAAAACAACCACATGGACAAGCTTCTAGCTTTTATTCCAAAGATGAAGAGAAGTTTTAATTTTAACTGCGATCACGAAATGTCTCACTTTCTTGCTACCTCAGACGACACCCCTCCAAATGGCAAGTGAAAATAGAACCGAAAATTAAAAGCGAACCAGAATGGAAAGGGATGAGACTTTAAACACGTTGCTATGGTATTATTGGCGGGTGAGTGATATGAGGAAAAAAACTGCCTAAAAAACTTGTATATAAATATAAAAAAAGATTATTTATTGGATTTTTAATTTTCTTCGTTTCTGTCAAAATTGTAACTTTACTCCCCCCATCTTTCCCTGAACAGAAAGTGTTTTGAAAAGCCCACCTTGGTACCCCACATGAGGTATCATTGAGGTGGGGGAATCGAATCTACCACTCAGACCCAGCCAGAACTGTCGGTCATTCCACAAACTACATATTCACCAAACGACACATAACTCCTACCACTGCAAAAAAGAATGACATTTTACAATGAAAATTTCGTTTGTAACAATGTTGCATAGCTTTCGATTTCTCAAAGCGTTTAACCAGAACTTAATGACAGCAAGATAGGAAACACATTCACGGACTCCAATAGTAATTAAATTTAACTCAATGCCAAACCAGCTAACGGCTTTAGCAGACGAGGAAAATAGACAAATTAGTCAACAACACTTGTGAACAATGGATTTTATTACTTTGCTAGGGCGAAAACAACAGCGAGCTGCTTATCTTTCATCGGAGACGACCTAAAAATTTTGATGATGATGATGGTGATGATATAGTTAAATCTCCGCTTGAACTAAGGAAGACAAAACGCAGAAACACACCTCCACTGCCAACTGTGCGTCAAAGATTAAATATGACGGGAATTTGGATGCCAAAACGCCAACTTTTGCAGCACAACAAAGATGAAATTTTCTTTGTTTTAAATACAATGAAGTGGATCGTTTACGACAACTAAGGAATGGGAACCATGTCGAGTAGTAAAAGAGTGCTAAAATAACATGCATACAAATATGCCAATCAGACCTACTCATTGGCTATCCCCCCAGGGAACCCGAAGTAGGAGTTAATTAACCAACCAAACAAAATCAACGGTTCAAGTGTTGAATAATGTAGTGGGGAGGGAGGGAGGGAGAGAAGGATGAGAATCGCGTATGAAAGGTACTGTGACGAGAAATAGAGCAGCCCACCGAGTCGAAACTTGATGTCAGAGGGGGCGGGGAGGGGAGGGGAAAGGAGGAGAGAAGCAGAGGAAGCAACAAGAGCAGCACTCAACCTCCACCTCCGCCACCACACCAGAAAGAGAGAAAGAGGCGAAAATGTAACAATTGCGGGTCGATTGGCAGGTATGAGGTATGAGGTATAATTAAAGAAATAACTGTAAAAGCAAACCACTAATGTAAAATTGCGTAACATAAGACGCGAATAAAAGCGAGTTTTTACCAGTTCCATAAAATATATCTCGTGACCCTCACCACTTCCGATTATTGCTGAGGAGAGAGTGAGATTTAAATTATTCAAGGAGGATTTGCATTTCCCTTCCAAAATAGGTTCAACTTTGTTAGGGGGTCTAATTGACTCGAGGGGCGACCCAAGGGTTTCATCTCTCATGCACTGCAGTATCGATTTTGCATGATTCCCCCTTCCCTCACACACATACCCCCATGTCTGGAGACGACTCGGGACCACCCGCGGAGAGAGGCGTCATAGCTGCAATCATTGGCTAACCAGACAGTCAACCATTTATTCCCTCCTCTCCCTTACCCCCCCCCCCCCCCCCCCTCCCCCTTATTCGAACCCATAAAAGTACATTTTTATTTTGTAAAAAGTAAAAAAAAACACGTTAAATTGGTTCTTGAGCAGCAGTGGTTTTAATAGGGTGCAACTGATGTGTTATAAAAAAGCTATTAGGGCAGTACGAAAAAGAGGGCAATGTCGTGAGAAGATACTACTGGAAGTGAGAATTGTACAAAAAATTAAGTCAATGATGCAAGTGCCTGGACACTTGCATCTGAGTGCTAATTGAAGCATGACACAAAAACAACATCTGGATGACAACTTAACAAAAAAGAAGAGGCTGTGAATAGTCAAAATGGGGAGAGTTGGGAAGAAATGAAAGTAGAAAGAGTGGATGGATTATTGTAAAAACCGTGAGAAACCCCCCCCCCCTCCCCCCAACGAATTTCAATTACAAAAATTTCGATGGCATCAAGCCATCTTCATACTGTGAACTTCATATCAACTAGACGATTGTCTCCAAAGCCATGAGAGTAAGGGACTGCCTTAAATACCACCATTATACTTTCAATTTATGCGAGAGTAGAAAAACCAACGAAGAATATATTTAATAGACTTGCTATTAAAAAACCAACCCATCAGTGCCCGCTCTAAGCTTACTTAAAGAGTACGCAGAAAAGTGATGGGTGATTGGCGCAATGATAAGCGGCCAATCAGTGGCTAGCAAGTGGAAATTGTTCACTCTCATAAATCAGGCAAAAAGTGCGGTTACTCCGTGCGATATTAGGTTTAGGGCGGTGAGCACCGAGATCACCTTACTGCCACGTAATCTGCTAATTTCAACAGTGCAATGCATCTCCAAAAAGAGAAAGACAGGATGTACACACAAAAGAGAATAAAAAATTAAAGGGAGATAAGAAGTAAAGTTGACACACCACTATTGAAAAAAAGGAGAAAATTAAAATACCAACAATTACGAGCATTCAACTTCTAGGCATAGAAGTAAGTGAAGGCCGACTTTAAAATAGGAAGTCACTAGAGCACTAAAACCCAACACACTTGTCAACTGTTTGGGGGACATGGTGAATTGCCAATTCAAGGTGACACAATAGATTTGGGAGAGAATTGGCATACCTTTAAGACGATCCTTGAGAAGGTCACCAATGGGGATTATTCGCTTGACCTTGAGGTCGGGATCCACCTGTAAAATTGACGTCTTGTTGCCCGAATTTGAGCCAGAGGCTCCAGAGACGACTCCCGTCACAGCCAGCGCCAGCTGTTTGCCCTTGGGACTCCAGGAGACTATAAGGACAGAGAAGAGGATTCGCGATCAGTCAAATGGAGACATGTCAATTGTAAAAAAGTGCGACGTGACGTGAAGTAGACTTTGTTTTATTAGGGATCTGTGGTACTTAGTTTGCAAGGCATTATAATACCATTGAACGTTGTCAAGCAGGAAAATAGGTACTGATTTTAGAAAAGCGTATCCCACACCATCAGTTGGAAAGCTCAAGATCGGAAAATTAAAGAACTCGATTGATTTTCTATTAGTTCAAATCAATAAAGTAGAAAGGGCAAAAGAAAATGAGTACAATCTTTGAGGAATGAAGAAAAGTCTTAACAAGAAAGGGTGAAAGACCGCACATACGGCTTCAAAATAACCATATAGCATATTCATATGTTCAATTCCTTATGGCTTATAAATAAATCAAGTATCTACTCAAATTATTTGCAAGACACAAATTGCATCGATAGGGGGGGGGGGGGGGAATGGCATGAAGTTACACGACTCTCAAAACGTGAAGGAGACGATCCGCTTCAAATGCCACAAATCATACAGGATTATATCCTGCCAATCGCCCAAATTTTAGCAACAAATAGGAAGGCTATAAAAAAGCGCAATAAAATGGACCTCCACACTCCAAGTAATAAAGCCCAACTTAGTATATATATATATATATCCATAGTGGGTTATGAAACAGCCCTCAGCACACCTTCCTCCTCCCCTCCTTCTTCATTATCCTGCTTTTATGGACTTGCGCACAACAGTCCCCTCTCACCAATCTACATTAAAAGAGGCTAGATAGCTGTTAACCCCTACCCCCCGCACCCCAAACCCAAACAATTAAATTCATTAAAACGGAGACACGTGATTGACATTTTTGTGAACTTTAAGGAAGGAATGTTTCTAGGTCTCACATTCAAAGCTAATAGACCGCAAATAGAAGTGAAAAAGTCCGATTTACACCGAAAGAGAGATGACACTTACCTCAGAGCGTAAGACCGTATTTAAGGACTGCGAACCCAAAACTGGAAGCTCTACAATGTAGTGAACACCTTGCATTGTTTTAACTCAGATCCCTACAGGTACTTCCAATTATTCAAAAAGCGTAACGGCTAGTCAATAACATAGAAGTGCGATAAGAAAGAAATTTTGACAAGTCACAAATCGATAAGGCTAATAAAAATTAGCAGATAAATCGATAAAAGTCTCTCGAAAGAGCGCTCACTTCAGGCATAACCACCTATGGACAATCTATTAGTGATACCAAAAATAACAAAAGATGCATTGTTTTACATAATTGGCAAACGACAAACTCACGTCTACACGCCAAGAGACTACACGATAACAAACTGCACTGGTTGAATCAAGTCCTCATACGAGAATGCGAAGTTCTTGCTTCTGCATAAGATATATCAGCCCAGTATGAATAAATGAGCTTTCCGAAATGAATTTGGAAGCCATCTGAAATTCTCTCTTAAATGCAATTTGTCCATCTACTAACTCTATTCCATTTCAGAGCCCAAATTGAGTCCCTTTAATTGGGTCGTATGACAGAGGGTGAGTAGTAGTCAATCGAAAGCCTGACATATCAGATAACGATAGGCAACTTTCCACATTAATTTGAGCGGATGAGAAAAGCAGTGACAAGTATTTACATCGGGTCACAAAAATTACTCATTACTGCGCTTATTATAAGGAGAAAAGAGTCGCATAATGTGAAAGAGATGGAGTTTTTTGGCTTATCATAAAATGACCTAAAAGATGCGCAGAAATGGTGAATGCAGAGAGAGAGGGAGAGGGAGAGAGAAAGGGGGATGACTTTCACAAAATTATGAAATTTTGATGGCAACTGATTCCCACCTGCTGGCCAAACCTCTCACTCAAGTTAGATAGAATCACGGCACAGGAGCAAGTGCCTCGCATCTCCACCAAACTTCGAAATAATTTACAGCTGTGGGGGTTATCAGATGAAATACAGCCCCCGACCCCNNCCCCCCCCCCTCCCTCCCCTCCCCACCACCCACTCACCCACCCACCCACCCAACTGCAGGCAAACGACTAAAAGTCCAAGATAAAATTGAAAAAATGCGCCCCTGACTGACTGCATTTAGGATCCGAGTAATCTCCGACCGAAATCACAATCGTTAAGTGAATGAGCAAGTGAGCGAAAAAATAATCTTAGCTCAGGATTAGTACTGGAAAGTTACATGGATATCAGACATGTAACAATTTGAGAGCTTTCACGTCGTTTACCCACAGAGGCAATTCAAACGAATCTGAGTTGTCAAAACGATGACGATAGTGTCAGACACATTTGGTGGAAAATTAACTCCAGAGGGGGGGGGGAGGAGTGGAGGGAATTTATTCCATTATAAGTACGGATTCCATAGTTTAGTAAGGACGAGATCATCGAAGTAGAAGACGACTCATTCGGCGATAAATTCAAATTTGTCAAAAAATTTCGAGGGTGAATAGCTTTTAATCGTCTAATATAACGTGGTCTGGCAGTAAAATTGAATTGAAGACAGTTACAGCCATTAAGTTCAGCGTATTAAGAATTGCGTGCAAATGTACCCTGAGAGAGAGAGAGAGAGAATATGTCTTGAGTGGATCACATCTCGTCATATATATTTTGCTAATTACAACTCTTCAAATAAGCACATGTAAGCAGAAAATTATTTCACTATGTAAGATAGCGCCTGACTTAGGCCTTGAATTAGAGAGAACCTGCCATTAGTTCAGTAAAATTTTGATTGAATAAAGTTATCATTTACAAATTGTCAACTAACGATTGGCCGCAATAAATGACTATCACAGCAACAACAAAAAATCAATCGAGTAGCCAATCTAACTAATTTTTTTTTCGCTTAAAATTTAGATGAGAATGGGATAGTGTGCTAGATATCCGATAACAGTTGTCACAGTATATTTTTAATTTTGACAGCCGCGCGAAGGGAAAACCTGCAGATTGAAATGCCATCGATTGCGTCTACACACACCCCAGTCATCTCAGCTCCTAAATACATACTCTTTCAACTGAGGCGAATATCTCCACATCCAATCTTATACGTGGCAAAATTAGTAGAAGCTTGGCAAGGTGATAGCTTTACGAGTTCTCATGGTTCCACGAGGGAAAAATGATCGAGCACTGTGAGAAATATGATCGAGCACGAATGAAAGTGTGAGAGGTGGATCTCACAGCTAATGGTGCATTCAAGTGGTAATCACTCCACTTGAGAGCTAAAAAGACTCACCAATTGACTTCAGCATAACACACACTTTCGCAAAGGTGGAAAAGCAACCTGTGTTAATATGAGCATGTCCGTGAATTATTGAAAATGTCAGGAATTGAACCCCAAGTCTCACTTCATGAGAAATAAGAGCCAGTTCAACCCCCCATCCCCGCCCCCCTCTTCCACTCTAGTGTGCGTGAAAGTTCATGTGTTCCTCGACAATATCACGGGTAAAAAACTGCATCTGTAATGATGGGAATCCAGTGGATGGAATGGCCAAGACACAACTGTCTAAGTTGACGCAAAAAGGTTCTGGCCGGAAATCGTGTTTCTCATCAAGGAGTAACAAGATGTCATCCCAAGAACTGAGAGAAACGCGAGAGGACAGTGACACACTCTCCGCAGGCTGTAAAGTCAGACGTTAAGAAAGCGACACACAACAGCACAAACTGGGCGAGGCATAAAGGGCAATTTAATAGTTGAAGAGGCTACCTCATATGACGTAAGGATTCATTTAACTTTGGTGAACACCAAGGCTAATTTATACTATTCCACCCAAAACAATTTAATTTGACATTTAAGAGAGGGAAAGAGTGGCTAAAAACTTCATTTATGCTGGTAAATTGACGAAAATCGACGCCTCTCGTCAGTTGGACGATATTTCCTCCCTTAGAAGGAGTGGAGGATAGAAAATTTACTTTATTTTACGTCAATCATAAAAAAATGAGCAACTGTGCAAATGCATATCCGCAAATGGCTACTTCTACTCAAAGCGAAATTATATGAAACATAAGGCATGCATCTTGATTAATTTTTTTCCGAAATGCAATAAGGGGCGTAACAAATCAGAGAATACAAACAATACACCGAAAAATGGTGTCGATCAAGCAGAAAGTCTTTTTTCCCATTATCAAATAGATACCAAGGTCGCTTAGCACAGAAAGCAAACTGTTGTATTCTGTCTACCCTTGACAATTAGTTCCAGACCTCTCAGAAGCAGAAAAAAATAAACTGGAGAATAAGTTAAACGACAGGAAAACAGAATCATTGAATCCAAAAGTGAAAAGCTGTAACCTCGATTATCAAAATCCGAAATTAGAAAGAGGTTGGGCGAATGAATAAGTTCGTCACTAAACATTACTCTGGTAATATCAAATTGATTTAAGTTACATTCGAGCGGGAAGTATTTATTTATTTATATCAAATGGCAGGCGTTATGATATCATTAGCCCTTTAGTTGACTTCGGGCTTCACAGAAAGGAAGATGAACATCAAAGTGGCAAAAAGTCGAGAGGGAGGGGGAACAGAATAATGATTTACAGACGTAAAAGAAACAGACAGACACAAAGGTAGAAAATAGGCGAGGTGAATACTGTGAAATTATTCGAATATGAAATGTAATGGGGTCATGGTAGTTTGAAGTCAGAAGTCAACTTCCGATTAATAGACTTTTGCCGTATGAGTATACGTTGCCCAGGGTGCACCATGTGGAGGTAAGTCTATTACATACCCGAGCAGGAAGTCTGGTAGATAGCGGCAGGTAGTAATATTGCTCCTCGAAATTTCTTATGAAAATCATTATTAATCATGTTAAAAGAACAAATGCTAAGAGGAGAACCCATTTAAAATCATTTAGACGAATATCCACAAATAGTACGTTTACTACTACTAGTAATAATAATAATAATAACAAAATGATTTCCCCACTAAAAACAAAACTTATGGAATAGAGGAAAAAAAATATATTCATCTTACGACAATGAGCCATAATATTTTGGAGATTTCCAACGGGGTTGATATGCGGATGTTGAAGGGGATTCGTGCTAAACATCCAAACAGAACCCGTGGAAGAAACAAGAGCAAATCGATGCTTATCAACGGGATTCCAAGCCAAATCCTGAATGCTGCCTTCACTCGCAGGAATTTCCAAAGGATTACCGAGGGCACCGTAGGGTGGCTGTGCGGACTACGCATAAATAAAGTCAGAATTAGTTGACAAAGACGCTTATGCTCTAATGACTTGAAGAAAAAACGCTTTACCAGTTGTTGAACGTTTAACAATTGAATAGATGTGTCGAACGCAATGAGAAGAAGACTTCCAGAGCTGTTGACACTAATCCATATAATTGGTCGAGAGAAGGGAATGGCAAAGAAAGCAGAGAAATCTGCCAATGGTTTGACTTTGCTTCCAGAGAAAGAAGAACTGGATTGAGCGTAATCTTTCGAGTTGAAAACAACCAAATCTTAACATTTAAAAAAGAAAGCATATTGATCAGCGAATAATTACAAGAAAAACTAAATAGTATTTTTAAATTTAAAAGCATTTCAAGCAAATGAATTAAATACTTAGATTTAATCTGTCGACGAACTCGAAATTGACAAAATGGTTTATTTTTCACTAACCATTTTTCCGAGCTACAAAAATAATTCCATTTGGTGAAGCTGCCAAAAGATTTGATTTTTTAGACATTTCATTGATATCAAATGGAATATGGTGCAATTCCTCCGTAATTATGCTATCCATGTTATTTGAAACTATAGAAATCAAGTGGGCCCTACACCTACGAATTTATAAAGTTTGCTTAACGTCCTTGAATATGATTGGCCCGCTGTTTGTTCAGAAACATCTTAAAGCAATAGACGATTGCAATTTTTAAGGCAGCCAGTTCATATCTTAATGGAAAGATTATTAATGCATTGGGCATCATATATAATCCTTTTAGCGCATATTATTTATGCCACTTATTACTTTTAAGATAAACCAATATGCTGTTTTACTCTTATATCACTATTATTTGATACTTACTGCGGGAATCCAATAATAATCACAATAAGCATGTTCCTTTTTTTAAGATCCGTCCTAAACTATAACTCGATCGACGCAGTAGGGATTTTTAAAATTGAAATCTAGTACTGCCTAAGCTAAAATGCTCATTCATTATAACTGTTTAAAATACGTCCACTCTCTTAAATTATTACCCAGAGTAATTGTGGCAACCGTTTTCTTAACTCCTAATCGGTAAAAAATTAATCGGAAGGCGATCACAGTTTGCAAAAGATTTATTCTTTAAGGTTTTTTTGTACAGAGACAAAACAAGAATTGCAGGGACGTTAATTCTAATTTAGCAACTTATAAAGCTTAAGAATCTTCCGTATTCTTCACAATCCTTAAAAGGCACCTTGGAGGCAATTTCTTTTTCAGCTCAGTTTCTTGTTCTTCTCTGCAAAATAAAAGAGCATTCATGTCGGTCCTGTATGAATATGTGCGAAAATTTAAGACACAATGATCACACACGTCAGATCCCCAGCAACGATACGCTCCAGTGCTGGTAGCCCCAAAACAATACGAATGAGTTGTCGCACAGAGAACACTCTCAACGTAGTACCGATATCAATTTCCTGGAGGTTCTTGGCCATAAGAATGCTGGAAGCCAATTCATCAGTGAACCGATTATTAACAGCCTCAAATTTATTTGCTGGCAATTTAAGCTTGCATAAGCTTTTAGACAATATTTGAATTATTCTAGCTAGTTTAAGAACGGGAAAAGAAGTAAAGAAGCTCAAATCAAGCTCCTTAAGAGGAAAACCAATTTCTAAAAAAATAGAAAGACGCAGTAATTAAAACGCAATTTAAGTAATATACAGCCGAAAGTTGCCACCATTCCCAACCTGAAAGTCTCTGAATGTCTTTCCATTTCACTGACGAAAGTGCTGTAAAACCTCTAATGCATTGCATTGGTTGACCCTTAATTTGATCCAAAAATTTTTCAATGTTTAATTGGTTACAACTCCGCACATCGATCTGAATTAAACCCCACTCTGTCTCACTCGGAGTTATCTTCGGCACTAGAAATTGAGGGAATTCGACAAGTTTGAACGAACATGCTACGAACCGAAGTTTCTGTAATGGGCCCACTTCGCCAATTGAAGGATAAAGCCCAGTTACCTACAACAAAGTAGATAGAGATAGATTTTCAAGATTAAGACGTTGTAATAAGCAGGTTTAAAATCAATGCTTTCTATTCACTATTTATTGGCTCTTAGAGTTCGTTTTGAAATATTACCAATTATGGGGTGGGCGATAGACTTACCTCCACGTGGAACACCCTAGGCAACGTAACCTAATACGGCAAAAAAGTCTATTGTTCGACAGTTGACTTCCGACTTCAAACTACCATCACCTCACTGTATACCATATTCGACTGCTTTCACAGTACTTACTCACCTTTTTTCACTCTACCTTAGTGTCATTCTCTCTTGCATCTTCGAAATACTCTTCTCTTCCCTCTCCCCTCTCGACTTTTTTCACTTTGATGTTCCTTCCTCTCTGTAAAGCCTGAAGTCAACGAAAGGGCTAATGATAACTACCAAAATGCCTGCCATTTGATACAAATATTAAAAATAACTAAGTACGTTGACACTGGAAAAATTAGAATTAGATAATCAACATTATCGGGCGTAAACAGAAGTCCACGAGTCAGCTAACTTACTAACATGGACGCAGAATGTGGAGCAAAATTAGGGATATGCTAAACAAAAAACCTTATGCCGCATTAGGGGGTCAAGGACGATTGTTACAAAACGATGAATTTTTATGCCCACCTTTGTAGCCCTAAAACTACGTGTTTCCATAGATTTTTACTCGTAAATTGCCCCCGCCTCCCAACATAATAAAGACTCGCTTAAATTTCACTTTCAACAAAGTAACTGCCTTACTTCTGTATCACGGAAGTTTAGAACCCGAAGATTGGGGAAAAGTTTGGCGACAGCCAACAAACTGGCGTCCTTGAAGGCAGCACCATTAACAGCAAGAACTCGTAAGGGCGAAACGATTAAGCCGTCTGAATTGTGATAATGCCACAAATTTTCCCAGCAGCATTCAGAATATCCAGTGTTTGTTATTACCAGATTCTCCAACTTTGGTAATGCTATAAATTATTTAAGTAATGCAAACATAAAAACAATCTCATCTTATTATTAAATAAAGCAGAATAAAGTCACCTGCTAGTGATTTCAGCAAGTCGGTATCTACGAAGGCCTGGCCGAAGATATTTAAATACCGAAGATTTTTTAATTCTTAAGAGGGAAATTAAACCAAAGAAATTATAGGCAAGCTACTTAAATTGAAATAAGTAGTAGGAGGAAATCACCTGCGATGATTTTAAGTTGTTCAACATTTAGCGTTTCAGGAATATGCGCAAGATTTAGTCCGACTAATCTTGGCCAACTAGTGACTAGTTCAAGAATCATCTCCCGGCTCACTGGATAATGGCCCAAATCCAAGTCATATACAAAGCTAAAAAATGGGAGAAAAAAACATTCTTACTTAAAAGCAATTAAGTAGAATAGTTAAACTGAAATTGTTCAAGCTAACTTCTTCAATAAACCAAGAGTTG